TTTTAATAACGTTTGGCACATTACTTCACTGAAGCCTACAGTACATAATACTATCAGAATTAAAAGAAAAATACTTCAGTGAAATTATTTATTACAAAAATATCAAAACATGAGTATTGGCCATCTTACTTAAATGTTTAAGACAAGATGGCCATAAGGAATAGATGACCTATACATATTTTATGTTCAAGATTCTGTACCTATTACTTTATAAAATCATAAAAAAAAAACAATTTGACATATTTATTTTAATATAGGATATTTAATATATATTATTTATGAAAAATATAATATACATACAAAATAGAAACTCTCTATTACAAAACTTTAAATTTTAAATCCAATTTTTGATCAAAACATATTGCACATAAGATTTAATTACTGTAATATTGAAAGTAATTTTTAAAATAGAACGACTCCTGTTTTATAAATGTTAGAATGATAATGGGCCATCTTACCCAAAATGTGAGTGAAAAACGATTATAATAGTACTTATAAACAAATAGTGAAAATGAAAATAAAAAAGCATGTTACATTACAATTTACATACCTACTTTATGTATCTAACGTTGATTGCAATAGCTTAACTGTAATTTATTCGACGTTACAGCAAGTTTTAGTGGATACATGAGAAATTTTACAGATAGTCGAAAATAAAAATATAGTATAATATTCATAATCTTGTTATTTCAAAAAATATACGCACATATACTACGATAAAAGTCGACTTTGTCGATTATCTTTATGACTGATTACACAAACGTAATGTTTTGCAATTATTAGAAAAATTACAGTCTATGGGCATCTTTCCAGTATGGCCATCATATCCGAGTTTACTCTAATTAGAATAATTCTACTCTTAGGATATCAAAATAATTAGAAAATTATATTATTGTTGATATGGATGATATTTCGTTTTAGAGCTAAAGTATTATATCAAACAACCTGAAGGAAAATTTTAGCATGGATCACCGATGATTTATGTAACACAGAATGGTATATAACTGAGTTTCTAAATTATGTCTGAAAAAAGATTGTGAATAAAGCCTATTGGTTAAGATGACCAGATATCCCGCTTTTTCTAGGGCAGTTTTGGTTTTTCACCTTTTGTTCCGAATTTTTCCGAATGCTAATCAGGACGCCGATTTGTCCCAGATTCGGTCAAACCGTTTATATCGGTTTTTAGAGAATTTTTTAAATTCTTTTGATAAAAAAAGATCTTCTCAAGAAAATTCACAGCTCTAGTAAATATAACAGCTTTGCAGCTTCTTCTTTTTTAAATAAAGATAATTTTATGTTAGCAATAGTTTCTAGTTTTACTATGAAGGCAGCAAGCCTTCATTGTTATTGCCCTCATAAATTGTTTTTCATATGTCTATAAATAAAACATTGTTTCATATGTATACATGTAAATAATTTTTAATGATGTCCCTTCACTTTCGCGCTCTACATATTTATCAAGTGTCCCGGATTAGGAGATGGAAAATTGTAGCAAAATTGTAGAAAAGAGGAGTTTCTAGAAGTCTACCAATAGCCGGCAAGGTATCTCGCATGTGAGCCGTTACGAAAGAATGCACCGTGCATCGTCTGTATCAGCCTTAACTCTCAGCTATGACAAAGGTAGAAGTTATAGCACGAAAATGTTCATAATCGTTAAAGATATAAAATTACTGTCAAATTCAAAATGACAATTATTTACAAGAGCATTACGGTAAGACGGAAATTTATTAGTAATTTTGGTAAAATTCGTTGTTTTTGATAGTTTCATGCACAAACAAGCTGGTTGTCGTACTAATGTATAAAATAAAACATATTCTTTTTAATTGTACATCCGATAATCTTTGAAAAATCTTTAAGATAAAAGTAAAGAAACTATTCATAATCTTTCAAGGCTGTTAAAGTTTCCATTTTTTACAATACCAGTCTAAACTATTTTTTATACAATTTTTCATATAGAAAAAATAAATTTCATTAAATCTTAGGCCTCTCTCTCTATAGTGGTAGAAATCGGTTCAAGAAATATATTTTTTTTACATAATTTATAATTTTTATTAATTTCATTTTTTATTTATAATTTTTTAAATGTAGCTTTTTTATTTTATTATTTAAAATTATTCTATATTTTTACTTTTGCAATTATAGAAAATTTGTTTTGTTTTCCATGTATAATTTTTATACATAAATAATTGTAATTTTAAGTGTTTTCGCTTACTGTTTCTTATATTAAAAATTTTTAATGTAAATTAAGACTATATTACATTTGTCATACTTTTTGTTTAAAAATTCTAATATATAAAACAAGTTTTTTTAAGATTTTCTAGATCTATCTAATTAATTAATTAATAAGTTATATATATATATATTATATGCTGCATATAATATATCAATATACGGTATCAAAATATTTTATGGAAAATATAAATTAAATAAAATATTTCACTTGTGTTAAATAAGACTAAATGCTTCTTATGAGCTTTATAAAAAAGTTTTTAATTTCTGTAATTTATATCTAAATTACCATTTTACCAGGTCTTCAAAATTACTTACAAACTTACCGTAATTTACCGAGTAAGTTATCGTCAGATTGGGCCATCCTCATCTCTATTGTATCTATAGGATATAAATCTTGTCTGAATCGGATTATTGTTTTGGTGGAAAACAATGGGACGATAAATTTATTATGAACAAATGTCAACGGGATGGAATTGTAGAGACCAGACACGATTATGTTTATACTCGTATTACTTACTTTTTGCATTACTTTTAACCACAATAATTTAATCAGATCTAAAATAATATCTGATGATATCCCGATTTTCGAGCTTAAGTTTGCATCTCGTTCGCTGTACAAAAATATCTGTGTGCTACAATCTTTTCACTTGCACAACATCTGTTTGTCATAAGATCTGTTTTGTATCGAACTCTCGGGGTCAATAAACGAAAAAAGATTACAAAGTAACGTCCCGTGAAGTAAACGTAACGAATCAAACGACCGGCAACTGCAGAGTCATTTGAATTCCTAACGCACGGTCGTCAAGATTCTAACCGTTATACTGCGTCTTTCGAAATACTTCGTGGTAGAACACGTTCTACTGAAGTATACTCTGTGTTCAGTCGTATACTTCGCTTCATTCCAAGATAAATAGACGTGATGTGAGGGGCGGTAAAAGAGAAGGAACTTCAGTAGGGACAGCGGGGACGCGGAGGACGTGTGTTAGGTCTATCAAGAAAGGGCTTGAAAGAAGCACGGCACTTATACGAAGACGATATAAATTCTTCGTCTTGGAACAAAGAAGTCTCACGCTTTTCTACGCACTTCGTTCTACCGGATCTTTTTTTCTTCATATCCTCGTATGTCCGCGCCCATAATGAAGTTACAAAGAAAGATTGATTTTAGTGCATTCGTGCAATATAATCGTATTAAGAAACGATAAGTCATGAAAATTAACGAATGAGTACATTTTTCCTGAATAAAACAAGAAGCTTGAAGGCTCTTCTGATATATAACCAAAACCATATTATAATTATATTAGCTCTATTTACTTTTATTTACATCGCATCGATTTGTGCGGCATTTATAATACAATAAACGACACGTTTGTGTGTGTTATTATATCTTAAAGATGTGACCAGCAGAATAGCCTTAACAAGCTATAATAATTAAGTTATTAATATTTTTATACCGTACATACTTGTTTCAGGCAATGTCCATTAATACATAATTATCACAGCGACATCGATCGTTTTCGCTTCTTTGAACAATCGATACAATTTATAAACAATCTCGATAAAGAATAAACAAGATAACAATAAGATAATAAATAAGGCAACAATCGACAGAGAATAAATCAATAATGCGTGTGACAATTCCAATAACTTAGACAATAAGATGACTGGACATCCCGTTTTTTCCAGGTTCCCAACCTTTACCCTTGGATTTTTTCTAATGTTACTCAGGATATCTCGGTCAAATTGTCTCAGTTTATCCTGATTTATTTCAGAAGAGTTTTTAAATGGTTCTGACAAAGAAAGATCTCAAGAAAATACACAACTCTAGTTCTGACAAAGGAATATTTTCTCAGGAAAATGCACAATTCTGATAAAGCTTTACCAGCTTTACTTCTTAACTTTAAGTGAGAATAACAACAGTTTTATCTTATCTTAATCTTTACTTTTATTGTAAGCAGCAGGCCTTCAATGTTGTCAACTTACTTTTCATGTCTATAAACACAATATTGTTTCATAGATATGTATATAATTTTATTATTATATATTATTGCATTTTTTATATGTATATAAAATAAATAATTATATACATACATAATTTTCAGTGATTCCTCCTCTCCCCGCTCCACATATTTATAAAGTGTTCCGTATTTGAGGATGGGAAATCTAGTCATCTTACTAGAGAGAGTCACGCTGTTTGATAAAGCTAGTCTGCCGATTAATATGCTTTCGCACGAATGCACAACGATTTGCATTGTCTCGTGAACAGTCGAGGACAAAGGGCTAAGAAGGGGTGTAGGTGTGGCGATCCTCAAAGACGTACGTCCGGTTCTTTCTACTCGTCGTCGCGTTTCGAGTATCCCGCGTTATTTTATACGCCCTATGTGTGTCTCTCCCGCGGATTTAATACGCGCAATTAAATCCGAGGTATCACACGTAAGCGCGAGGATCACATGCAAAGTGTTCCCGCGCTTTTTGTATCGAACAGCGGCTATCCCGCGCACGAGAGAAAAAGAGAGAACGTGTGCGTGTGTGCGTGCGTGTGTTTGTGGCGCGTGCATCTCGCGGAAAGAAGCAAAGGAGAAGTGCACAATAGTCTAGATCACGAGATAAAGCGAGATGTTTCCTCTCTACGGCGAGTGGACACGTATGTGGCACGTCAGGAAGGCGCGGGAGGCGTAAAGGCTTAGCGACAAGAAGAGGGAGCCGTCATTTCCCGCCAGTCGGATTAAACAGAGACGCCGGCGGGATGGAAAGAAAGTGAGAGACAGGAACAGAGGCAGGGAGGTCGAAACCCGTGTCTGGGCACGAAGTTGGATTTAAGTCCCGGTTTAGTCTGAGATCTACGGCTCTCTCGCCGGCAACGGCGACGGGAACGATAGCAAGATCGAGTCTAAGGAGAGAAAGGACCTCGGCGAGATCCGATGAATGAGCCGCCGCGGGTATGAATGGTGCCCTCGGCGGCGGTGTAACGAGTGGAAAAGCGAAGGGTCAATTCTCACGAAACTGGTGCGCCGTATAAAACGTGTTTTTACGAATTAATAATCGTCGGCCAATTTCTAATCACGCGCGGAGGGGACCTTTACTTTGAAGCTGGCCTAAATACCGCGGGACCTTTCGAACGCGTCGGCGAACGTTCCGTGACGGAAGCAGAGGTACGCTCAACTTGGTTTGGCGGCTTAACAGTACACTTATCGGTGTACAATGAGACAGACTTCCCGGATTATAGTACACTGAGAGAAATTAGCCGATAAAAAATTAACAAACGAATATTTCCGGTCAAATTCCGATCAATTTTTATACCCGATCAGGATATTCGATTAAATTTTGTCAGACACTTCCGATCATAATGATCATTGAGCCATTTCAATTGCCTATCTTATAACAAAAGGGCAAACTTGTTATAGACTCGTTTTTTATATCAATATGTTAGATTAAGAGATATGTCAAAGAGTAAAATAAAGATGAGTTTTCTTTATATATATCTGGGTTTTCTTTATTTTAAATATAATATATAAAAAAAATTTTTATAAATAGCTTATTTATTTTTGGCTATATTATATGTGGTCAAGATTTCTGTATCGCATGAAACTCTAATAAAAAATTCAGGTAAAGTCAATCATTATGATAATTATAATAAAATCCGCGTTATATATATAATAGATGATTAATACTGCAAAAATTTATAACTATTAATGATCTTATTCGTCTCTTGACTAAAAAATGATGCATTTTTATGTATTCAAATTTTAATACTTTTTGACAAATCGAAAAACTTTTTTCTTAAAAATTTAAGTATTAACTAAAAAATCCTAGAATAATTCCTAGAATACGGAAATCCGTGAAATAGATATAGAATTTGTATGTTTATTTTAATCCGTTCAACGTTTCCACAAAAATTGCGGAAGAGAATTTGGGACATTCGGTATAATAACGTATATATAAATATACGTATATATGAATAACGTATATATAAATATATATGTCTTATTTCTCGTTACTATTTGAAATTTTGCAAAAAACTAAGATATCTAGGAGGATAACCGATGCGTTTTTTTATAGATTTTTATTGGTTATTTTACGAAATGTGAATCAGCAAGAGGACAAAAACGGTCGCAATTAAAATCAAAACAATATGGAGGATTAATAAAGTCCTGATTGCCACGTTACGTTACATAACTTACCAGGACTTGTCAGGGGTTAATATCATTTTATATAAGCTGAATAATTGTTCAGAATTAATCTGATTAGGACCATAGAATAAATTTCTAGTTGATCACACAAAATTTCTAGTAAGTATTTCTAGCAAAATTGGCCCGGCACGGAACTTATTAAACATCTCTATCTTACAGCCACGTCGAGTTACATTGCTCGACGAAAAGTGGAGCAATGCCTAACCTAGCGATGGAACACTAATCCACAGCGACGTACGAATAATATAAATAAACATAGCACAATACATATGCAATTGTGACTCACCTATCACTCCTCCGGTCGTTCACTCGACGAGAAGTACTGAAGGTATCTAGAAACGAAGAGAGAAGTACGTTAGAGCTCGATCGTGGCGTACACTGAGAGAAAAATTATCTTAAAATCAACAAATATTTCCTTGGTGGGTGCCATTAACATATTTACTTAAATCTACATTCTCTTTACTTAAATCAAATATTGTTTAATTGATTTAAATAAACAATATTTGATTTAAGTAAAGAGAATGTAGATTTAAGTAAATATGTTAATGGCACCCACCAAGGAAATATTTGTTGATTTTAAGATAATTTTTCTCTCAGTGTAGGGATGTGCGATTTTGCGATATATCACAATTACTGCGATATTTTATTTTTAAATCGCAGTGCGATGCGCCATTGGTACTTTATCGCACAATCGCGCCTGCGATTCAAAATCGCAGCTAAATCGTGCTTGTGATTTACAATTAAAAAAAGTTGCAAGATGCTACATTTCTACGTGATAACATCGTATAATGTTTCTGCACACTTTTAGATCCACGCTTCCGAGAGCAGTATTTCGCGACGAAATTAAATGAAATACACGTCTTGCGAAAGCTATAAACCAGATTGACGTACCAAAGAATGTTTCTAGTGACGAAAATCAAGTCGAGTTTACAAGCGGTTTTGCTGCTGCATTTCTAAAAAAGAAAACAGTTTCTATGGCATCTTCAAGTAAGCAACGGACAAATAGCGAGATGATCGAAATGGAAATTAAGAATTATTTAAATACGTCGCTACCGGATATGAGTGTGGATCCTTTGTTATGGTGGAAAGATCACGAAATACATTTTCCAATATTAAGCAAAACAGCAAAAAAATATCTCGCTGTTCAAGGAACGAGTGTAGCATCGGAAAGAGTTTTTAGCAAGAGCGGAAATATAATTACAGAGGAACGTACACGCCTAACAGGACAGCATGCAAGTGAACTCATTTTTCTGGCTATGAACAAACCTTTTGTTTCTATGCCAAATTAATGTTAAACTATTAATCATTTATGTCTCAATGTTCCAATACATATATGTTATATGCAAATATAAAATATTAAATTGGATATTATATATGTTTACTATCATTTTTCTGCATCAAATTATTATTGCGACTCATTATCAGTGCGATATATCGCGCTGGTTGCGATTAAAAAAAAAATCGTATCGCGATACAAAATTTCGTGTATCGCACATCCCTATCGTGGCGTTTCGTGCGATCAGTAGCGTTCGGGAGATGAATCTCACAGAAGTCAGTCGGATTTCTAGCGAGGCTAGCCCGAGAGACCGACATAGGAATCATAATAAACCCAGAAATCACGTCCACGGAGACACCGCAAGGCGAAGGATATCCGGACAAAAGAGAGCCGACCGTGATTAACTGAAGAAGGGAACACATGTTCTCTCTTTCATGGGCCTGCACATGGGGCGCAGCCGTATGCCGATTTCTCGCGAATCTTTTAACCGCATGCAAGACGCGGCGTGACAGCGCACGCGGATGCTGTCATCATAAAGAGGCACGGCCCTGAAATGAAAATCACGCGTGTCTCGCGGTCGGCCGGTCAGTCAGTCGTTCGTTCGTTCGTTCGTTCGTTCGTTCTTTATTTGCCCCGGGGTTGCCTTTCTCGTTCCTTTTCCCCCGATAACAATCGGTCGTTCCCGGTCCCGAACAGACGTACCTACAGACGAAACTGCGGGGAGATAATGATCACAGCGCGAACTGTCATGCTGGCATTATTATCGCCGCGGCGCTCGCATATCTTACCGTAGGACATGAGACTGAGACACGTGCTTAATTAAAATCGACCGAATCCAATTCAGGAGATTTCCGCGTGGCAAGTGCCTCTTCGTAAAATGTCGTGAAACCCGAGAAATATGTCACACATGCGGGCCACGTGAAAGGACACGGGAAGTCCCGATTTGAAGCTTGTTTGTTTGTATGGGTATGTGGTGTATGTGTGAATCATAGCTTTGTATTATTTACAGTTCCTACAGCGCACTGCAATCGTGCTTCTCGCTTGTTGTGGACAATAGATAATTATTATTACACTCTGATCAGGCGCTCATACGTTCACGAGACGTCGCGTTTCGGAGAAACAATGTGCTCTTTTCGGATTGATCAGTTTGCTTTTGGCTCAACGAAAATACAGGTGCAATTGTTCGATATGGTGAATTAAAGTTTGAAAAGAAACTTTACTTCCTGGAGCAATCTCTAGCAGCCGGATACTTTAAGGCCCGATTCCACCAACGTCGATCAAGCCTTAAATCGCATTTAAACTATTTGAAACAAAGACTTAAACTCAGATCAAGACCCAATCAACGTTGGTGGAATCGGGCCTAAGTATTATTCTGGTTTGAATTGACGCAGGAAAGGATGTTTTCCCGGAATTTTTTAGAGGAACGAAAAACTAAATAACGTCAAACATTGCATATTCCTTCAGTCTTATTTTAAAAATATATGTTGTGACAAAAACGCTCTTCTTTTGTTATATCCTAGTCACTAGTAGCTCGCAAAAAAATAAACGTATACGGACGATATGAGAAACTCTCTCTCTCTTTAACACTCTTCATCAATTTCATATTTTTCTCGTATTAATGAAAGCAATTCCTGAAATTTAGCAACGTGTTCATTCGTTGTAGCTCGATTTTCGTTACTTCCGCTCTTCGCAAGACGCGTACGAAGCCATCCCTATCTCCCACATAATGCCAGACCAGTCAGCAGTTAGGCCGGAAGAATACGAGACGCGGAGGGACCGGTCGTTTAATCGTTTCATGTCGCACCAATGAGGCGAGGGGAGAATAGTCGGCACGTTAAGCATCCCCAACCGTGTTACTATGTCCTGTTTGATGTATCTTTCATTTCGATTTATCTGATCGTATAACTTCAAGAAATATTGCGATACGAAATTATATAAACACAAAATTAGAGAGTAATGAGGGGAGAAGTGGGGGAAACATTTTCGACGTAATGTTCTCGTGGCAACTTGAGGCAGCATTCGCACGCTTGGTTTGTTTTAACGTGATTTTACATTGAAAACGGTTATTGCAAAAGTTAAGATGCGGAATATTTCTTGTCGTCATAGTATTTCCTACGTCTTATTCTCTTCTCTCACCTCTATATCGCCTACTGCCGAGTAGTTTTATGTCCTTTAACGAGGAATTCTTAACTCGCACGCTCTCCCACGTCGCCTTTGAAGCCTGCCAAAAGCGAGAGTGCGTTCGACAAAAGATGTAGGTTTCGTTTACAATTTCTTTTCATTACATCTTCAGCCTTAGCCTTGAGCCTTGGCCACAATACGGTCGACGTCTTGCCATCTGATCGATACAAAGTGCGTCTTTAGAAAATTTCTTTGAACAAACCGAGAATAAATATCGACGAAATGTGGGAAAAAATTTAAAAAAGTAACCAAACATATTTCGATTTGAAACTTTTATCAGATTTGATATTGTACAAGAACCTAACTGTAAATGTAAGATAATCCAAAGTATGGCACATCTGACAAGGATACTCTGAGAATTGAAGAAAGAAGGCTTCTTAAAGTTATGATAGTTTAAGCCGATCTATCAACATAGGTCCATATTAGAGTCCTAATATATCAACTTGGCCTATTATCTTGTAAGGTTACATTCTCCAGGTCTTTTTATTCATTCTCCCTATTACGACTTGCCTTATCAGAATTCAATTAGGATCATTTGTGGCTAACCTTTTCTATATAACATGTTAATTTATAGAAATTATATTCGTGGAAATTATTTTTTCAACTTTCTCTTTTTAATTTTAAATTTTGCCAGGCATTTGTATAAGCTATTAAATTATAAGGATGATTTCTAAGCATAAGTTATGAGTATATCGTTAGAACTCGATAATATCATGTCAGCATCCTGTTTGATCGTGAAGTAACATTTGAGGCAGTAGAGAGATGGGTGGTCGCTCGACCAGTGGAAGACCAGTGGAATATTTGCGTAGGGGAATTACGGGCGAGGCAAACGTTGGCAGCTATTGGCAATCATCGTTGGTTGCCATAAGGCAACCGCACGTTGGTAATGACATGTCAGATTTCTTTTCTAATCATTAAATGAAATGATCAAGTTTTTTGTTTCTCACACGAAATGATCTATTAATCTCTTTGTGGGGATCTGACAAATATTTGTGAGGATCCAACTAAGATCAAATAAAGGAATTCTCGACAGAGTTTTAATTACCACACTACGTTACACTTACTAAGACTCGATGACATTACCAAGTGCAAACCTGAAAATATAATTGCTTTCGGTACCAATTATACTCTTTTGTGATTTTAACCACAAAAATAGTTAGGAAAACCATTGTTTTAGTAAGTGTTATTAAAAAGATGGTTCTTCTAATTATTTTTCTGGTTAAAATCACAAAAAAAAAGTACAGTTGACGCCGAAAGCAGCTATATTTTTCTCTCGGTGTGATAACTGATTGGGATCAAGCTCATCAGGACAATGGCATGAATTTCCAGTCGGGTGGGGGGGACATTCGAGGAATGTCAATCGCGAAAGTGAAGGACATAATCTTACCGGATGACGCGTAATAGCGGAATTAGAGGAGGAACCACCGCGAGCGAGAGTTGCTCTTCCCATTTCTCTCGTGTATCTACTCGCGCCGCGACAAACTTCCGCAGGAAGTCGAGGCATTCGCCGTGACACGCACCCTCGCGATACATAATACTAACTCCTCGCCCGCGCGGCTCGGCCTCTGCCTCGTCGAGCGCGAACGAGGAATTCACAACGCGAATTTTCAGGCGGACGGAACGCAGCCCGCCGAGTCGAGAACTCATGGAAGAGGGTCGGTTCAACGTATCGTTGTTTTCAACGTTTCTTCTCGCTCCGCTTCCCTCGTCTCGATACTTACACATCCCACTGCTCTTGCCGAGCGGGAGCCCTTTAACGCTGTTGACCTCTGCGAAAGGGTTCTACCGTCAAAAGTCGCGTCATCTATTAAAAGTCAGCGAGAGAACGACTGACGCGTCGCTAAAAATTACTCGGAGAGATATTGCGATACTACTGATATAATACTAGTATCGATATTCTTCTTTCAATATTTGTGTCATTATTTTTTTTTAATTTATACCTACATCAATACTACGTTTCAATATTATTTCGGTATCTTTTTTCCGAAAAATTGTATGCTAAACATTTTTATTGTGGAAATATAATAATATACACACAAAATGATACTCGTGATCAATTCACACTTGTAATGTTCAGCTTTCCTTTTACTTCAACGCTCAATAAATAGCCGGAAATTAGTGTAACATGCAATTTACGTTTTAAATCAATCTTAGGATTTCTGTTCCGTTAATTTTTACAGTTATTTATTGATTGCTGAAGTAAAAGGGAAGTGTTTAGGGGGGGAGCATTTTTACAAGTGTACAGAGTCGATCAAGAGTGTCATTTTGTGTATGTATTGTTTTATTGCCACGTATATCGCAAAAATTTTTAGCATACGATTACTCGCTTCTGACTTCACCAAACAAGGGCAGTCATAGTGAGGACACAGGAGCCTTACTCTCTTAAAGTAAATCAGTGTATAGTCACTGATATCAGTTATAAATATAGCATTGAGCATTGAGCACTTTCAGTGCAACATTTATAACTGCAAATCAGTGTATATTCAATGCAACACTTATGACTACAAATCAGTATATATTCACTGTTTTCAGTGATGTTTCACTGATCCATTTTAAAAGTACACATCCTTTTTAAGGTTTTTAGATCACAAACATCTCTAATGCAAAACGCAAAAGTATCTTATACTATAATAAGATATGATATATCTTTATATTATAGTAAGATTATTATTCGTAGATGTACGAAATTCTTAAAAATGATCTGCAAGATCAACACTTTCCTGATTTTTATATTTTCTCTAATTTTAAGTTTTTATAAGTTTCGATACCAGTATCGATATTTTTGATAATGATATCGATATTCTTGATACTCACTTCAATATGAGTATCGATACTTTCATAGTATCAGAATATCCTTAGAAGCAACTGTTCGTCAACGCGAATCCCTTGCGCAACCAAACTCGTGCTCGAATAA